CTGTATATGTCACAAACTTATTACGTGAACAGCTTGTGCAAACTATGTCTGATGATGAGTGAATTTCGGCTCCTGCTCATGAAGGGACGCGCGGGGGCGGGGGGGTCATTTAATTACCAATCCTCTCATGCTGGGAGTGACACAGTGTGCTTCCACACCTGCCACAAGGTCTCGCCACCCTCTCGCTGCGGCCATCTTTGTCACAATTATCGTTGTCCTCGACTATGTTGCCAGCCCAGACTGCAGGCTCGGAACTCCCTTCTGTCTGGTCAAAAGGCCACAAAGGCCATCCCACAGCTAGCGTAGCCACCCAGCTAACCCTCACATGGCCCCCACCGTGCATTTTGGTATGCTATAAGTGTCGGATCACCGATATGGGGCCTTTTCATGACTTGTATATATTTTTATCTTCATTTGTAATTCAGCGCTGTTAATTAGCTCCCAGAGTCAGGTGGCGCACACATAATATGCCCTGATGGATATTATAACTATCGAATGCTGTTTGGTTGTTCATTAATTTTATTAATTACCATTCAGCAAACAGGTGCAGTGTAATTGGGTATGCTATAAAACTCATAGTGATGACAGGACTCTCCTCTATAATATGGGATCCCAAACTTTTCATCCCATGACCCCAGTATCACAGACTGACGACCCCCATTTCGCCAACCAGGGGGATTCCCCTTGGGAGATTAATCGCAATCGACCGGTTGCCATTACTGTTAAAATGGAACATTTTTTCACATTTAATTTTATGAACAGTGTGGAAATGAGGGCCGGCATGGTTGTGCAGTGACTAACACTATTGCCTCACATCTCTGGGACCAGGGTTCAAGTCTCTACCTGGAATCCATTGGTGTGGGGTTTACATCTTCTCCTTATGTTGTCATGGGGTTTCCTTTGGGTAATCTGGTTCTCCCCCCCCCCACAGTCCAAAAACATGTTGAGGTTAATTGGAGTTACCATACCCATAGCTGCTGGTGCCCCTTCCTGGGTTGTTCCCTGTCTTGTGTCCATAGCCTCTGGCTTGTGTGAGATTTTCAATTCAAATTTCAATTTCAATTTCAATTTCAATTTCAATTTCAATTTCAATTTCAATTCAATTCAAGACAAGTATGCACACGCACTTACATGCATGTAACAGTTTTATTACCTTGAAGAACAGTCTGTAGTGTTTGCAAGCTACCCCAGCACTTTGGATGTAGCTAATTTAGAACATAAGAACGTAAGAAATTTACAAACGAGAGGAGGCCATTCGGCCCATCAAGCTCGTTTGGGGAGAACTTAACTAATAGCTCAGAGTTGTTAAAATCTTATCTAGCTCTGATTTAAAGGAACCCAGGGTTTTAGCTTGCGCTACAGTAGCAGGAAGACTATTCCATACTCTAACTACACGCTGTGTAAAGAAGTGCTTCCTCAGATTCATTTTAAAATGTTCTCCTGCTATATTTTAGGTATGTAATGTAGTAATATAGATTTGCCGTAAGATGTTTTGTATTTAATATTACTTAATATTTATTTAATATTAATATTACCTTAATATTTTTGCATTTTCTGTGCTGTGTTTTGTACTTCATGACCACTGTATTATAAACGTTACCCACTATCTTGCAATGACACCAAATTCTGAAGGTGCTGATACACAGGGGCAACTTTTCGAGCAATGATGCCAGGCAACTGCCAACTAGGAGTGCGTTTCCCAAAAGCATAGCTGCTACGTTGGAAACTTACATAGCTGGAAGCATGCAACTGAATGGGCTTCTGGGAAACGTACCCCAGGTAAGACAAAGGGCAACTCATCTGGATCTGGATGATCATGAAGAATTGCCCACTGCCGATTAAAGTTTTTTTAAAAAAAAAACTTGTTGCCCAATATCAATGGGAAAGTGCTCAAGCAACAACTTACCCTGTGTATTGTCACCCTGATAGCTTTATAACCCGTGTACACACCGGAATGCTTTACAGGTAACTGTAATAGTCCCCCAGGGGGGAAAAAAACAGCTTTAGAAGCACAAATAATCTGTAATTTGATAACATTGTGTTTTGTTTTTGTTTTTTTTTGTAACTTCCTGAATGGGGACAATTATTTACTTGCTTTAAATAATTTTTACTTTTGCCATAATACTAGTTGCATTGTTTTCAGTTAAGATGGTAACTGTTTAATTGCTTGCTTGTTTGAGGTAATTACTATCTTTACCTATCTGGAGATGTCACAGCTAGAGAAACGCACGTGTCTGCAGAGGACTTTCCTGTGTAGTTTTTGAGTGGTTTTCTTGCATTGCCCACTTTTAAGTCGTCTGAAACGTAACATATCTTTTGTACAGCATGGGAATTACTAGTTAAAAGAAACTTATAGGATTTAATGAACTGATTTGATGTGGGGAGTTGTTCTCTTTCCCAAAAAAGGCTGGCGTTAGGGGAGGCTTTTCAGCAGTTTTGCAGCCGTTTATTTAAAGCTGTACAGTGCGGTTAATAGCCTGCCAGCTAAGCTGAGTCGGACCAGCCACGTCTCGAGCATTTCACGGGGGTCTCACGCGTTTGGAATGGTTCTCCGCACTCCCTCAAGCCCAATCAAAAGCAAGTTTGCAAACAACAATAGCATACAATTACTGCATGCAACTTTGAAATGCTCTACTGACTTGTAATTAAAAGAATAAATCAATTTATGCTTAGAAATTATTTTTTTTTGTGTTCAATCATTTAATTGGCTGATAAATTGGCCTGAAATCAACCAGTTTGAAAGAAAAATCTTTTAAGAAGCTGCAGCATAGCAACTCCCCAAAAAGCCACTTCTCCAGCAAACTGGCAGCCCAGGTGGACTGGCAGCCTAAATGGGGGTGCTGGTGTCTGAAGAGGCCTGAGCTTGCACTCCTCACTTAACGCATAACACCACTGATCTCAGGATGAAGCAGGACTAAGCTCTTTAGATTCGATTAACTTGAAGCTTTCCTTTCAGTTATGTCTGCTTCACATTAAACATAATGCACTGATGCTGTCTTTTACCCCCTAGTAAGTAATTTGCTAATTCTAGAACACGACGGGTTTCTGCGCATCGTGGAAAGGTTCCTCACTCAGATTTATACGATGATTAATAGATAGTTTTTCCTTCCCTTTTTTTGCTATTACGAAGATGATGAATGTTTCCTGTATTTTTAACTTGCTGTCCGAAATATGAGCCTGACATTTGTCTGTCCCTGGTGTCATGAAGGGTCGTACCATCGAGTGTGTCGGGGGGGATGGGGGGGGGCGAGGGGGGTGGAGTAAGAGTGACAGTGGAAGTGAAATTTGCCCTGGTATGACAGCGCAACTTCATGGACTGAAAACGACTAAACAAAAGGTAATTTGGGTGGTTGTCTGGATGCCTCATGAAAAAAAATTAATTAATTACAAATCAAAACTGGGAGCAGTGAATGAAAACTACCAGTGCCAGTTGCAGTGAAATCAGATATCAGCCGGCTGTGAAAATGTACATGGGTCAGTATTTTATTAACATGGTGAGATTTCTACAGCTAAATGTGATTTGTACAGTGACCACATGAATTGTGTGTTATACACCCTGGTGAGTGAACCCCCCCCCCCCAGCATAAATCTGTCTGTTACAAAAGTGGAATTCATCCATCTAATTGGGCCACAGCTCCGTAAAATCCGCTCGTCTGCGAGCCTCTGCCTCCCTTCAGCAGGAGTGGGACAGTCTGGTTTGGTCTCCGGGACCTGAGGTAGTGTGTCTGGCATGTAGGGGGGGCGGAAATGCTTTCTGTTTTTGTTCCCCGTCACCTGCAGGTGGCGCACTTATGGTGGAGTGGACAGGCACAGTCTGCGGGTGTCGCATCCTCATTGTCTATGTGTTTGTGGGTTCGCGGCCCATATCCAGCTGTCCAAGCCTAATCTCCGAGCATACTGCGCCATGTTCAGCCCGACATGCCAGCTGCCGGGTGTTTAACCAGCCTGCCGGCTTCTTCGCCCAGTCGGTGGAGCCAGCCGTTCCCACAGAGCTTTTCCCACAAGCAGACGCACTGATCCAATGGTTAATTTTAGGCCAGAGTAGGGGAAGGGATAAGGATCAGGGCCGAGCTGTTTGGGAAATTTCACTGGCAAAAAAGTCTGGCGTGCGGCTCTTTGGGTCGCTGCTGACATCACCGGAAATGAGTCTCAGAGACAGTTTTACTGTCACATCACAACGGTACTTAAGGGGACATCGGTTCCGGGAGAGATAAGGTGACTGTGTGCGGAAATGCTAATCCTCATTGGACCTCATACAGAAAGCATTTCTTTTTGGGAAACGTAGTAGGACTTGGCACTGTTACATCTTCATGAAAACATCTTCCATGGCCGCTTATCTTGTACAGGGTTATGGTGTCAGTCTGGAGTTTCAGGGTCTGGTTGACTTGGACCAGCCCATGAGATTCAGCGTGATACCTGGCTCGAATTCTGTGGAGCTTCCTGCCGTTCCCAGGGCCTTAAATGTGGGAGGTAATAAATTTACCCCCCCCCCCCCCATCTTGACCCCAATACACACCGCTATGTCTGTTGTGGCTTACGATACTCTGAGAGTTTCTTCCATTATTGCCGAATGAACACACAGGAATTAGAACCTATTACTTCTGCATGACAACCACCATCAGACCACCAAGCTCGGCCAACATGTGACCGTGTTAGTTCCGTCACCCTGGGTTGGCCCCTGTCCTGTCATGTTTGCCTTTATGCTGCACGTGCGGGTGAGAGCTGCCACCCCCCCATCCAGGTAGCCAACATGAGGATGATACAAAAGGATGGAGGAAATCTGAGCTCTGTCTGCTTCCGGAAGCTTCTCTAGTGCGTTGCGTCATGCGGTGTCACGTTCCCATATTTGCCTTTGCTCTCTCTCCAGCTTTTCTTTATAAAACTTTCGTCAGTTTGTAAAGATAAACAAGGCAGGAGATCAAAACCGAAAGTCGTCTGGTTATCCTGTTACTGGACATAGACGACAGCCATGTCTAGTGTGTCGAACTTCTGTTTTCCAGGGCGTAATAAGCTGAAGCCACAGCCGTTCAGGCTCAACTGGGCTTGGGTTTCTCTTGAGCGAGAATATTACCTGGTGGATGAAGACGCTAAGTTCCTGGAGGTGACCCTCAAGCGCAGAGGCTATCTGGGGGAGACATCTTTCGTCAGTGAGTATAGCACAGCTTTCAGGCAACTGTCCACCTCGATCATATCTCTGTCTCGCTTTCTGCAGCTTCAGTATTTAAGGTCTATCAGAGTCATTAAATGTGAGACTTCTATTAAACTGAGATTTCACCTGCAAAAAAACACAATATGATAGTATATATCCTCCTGAGACGCCACCCATTCATTTATGTCCATTGCAGTGGACATTTTGTTTTTGCATCTATCTTTTCACTGATGTAAGGAAACGTATTTATTCCTCTTGTACACTAAAGAGGACATGCTGTGAAATTAAAAATAAAAATAAATTTGAAAAAAAGATGTCTTATTTCCTCCAAAGACATAGAAAATCACAATTAACCTTAAAACTGAAGGACACTTTTTTTCCTTGGGTCTCAGGAGGATATAATATAATTATAATTATATAATTATATTGACATAATATTATGTGGACATGTCAACTGAGTTTCCTAACCCCTTCATAACCAGCCATAATCCTTCAGATTACGTTAAATCACAGGGATGATATCTGTTATTATGAGGGTCATCAAAGATTTTGTTTGCCGATAACGGGCCTTGTTGTTTCCTGTCGCTTAGGTACCATCTAGGAGTTTACCCATGTTCTTTTCCTCTAGACAATATTCTGACACAAGACCCATAATGAAGTTTACATTTTAATACAGACGCTCCCCAGGTTACGGTGGTCCGTGTTACGATATTTCGACTTTACGATGGGTTTGATTATTCAATAAATTACATGAGATATTCAACGCTTCATTATAAAATTGGCTTTGTGTCAATGATTTTTGCCCAACTGCTGGCTAATGTAAGTGTTCTAAGCATGCTTAAGGTAGTCCAGGCTATGATGTTTGTTATGTTAGGCGTACTGTAATAAAATGCATTTTCGCCTTACGATATTTTCGGCGTATGATTTAGGTTTATCGGAATGTAACCCCATTGTAACCCAGGGAGCATCTGGACTTTTGGAAAAAAAATGTTTTTCTGCCACATTTTATTTCTGTCTTCCCTGAGAAGTAAATCTAGTTGAAGAGGTGAATATCCCAGACCACTGGGGTTACTGAAGGGGGATTTTGCCTGGGTTATAAGTAGACTGGGTCTGTAATATAGTCTGATATATCAGTAACTGTATCATTTGGCTGATTAGGGACATGGCCGTAAATTGAAGCCTGTGAAAATTATTTGATGGGATTTGTTTGGCGCTGCCCCCCCTCATTCTGCAGGCATTGGCACACAGGATGGCACGGCAGAAAAGGGTAAGGACTTCCAGGGTAAGGCCCAGAAGCAGGTGCAGTTCAACCCCGGCCAAACCTTGGCCACCTGGAGGGTGAAGGTCTTCACAGACCAGGAGTTCGAGACGTCCGAGAAGTTCCAGATCCAGCTGTCTGAGCCGGTCATGGCTGTCCTGGAGTTTCCCAACGCAGCCACAGTGGAGATCGTGGACCCGGGCGATGGTACGATCTGCCTCTCTGCTCACGCCATACCTCTGATGAACTTAGCATGCAACATAAGACTTCACATTTCACAATTCTGTTGTTGTAATTATAAAACTACGAGGCACAATTTTCAAATTTTGTCCTTTGATATAAACCTACAGTACCAGTCAAAAGTCTGGACGCCCCTTTTTTTTATGTAATCGTCTTTGTTTTAGCTGTTATTCACCATATAGTAAAAGGCGTCCAGGCAGTGAAGTCATACATATTAAATAATACATATCAAAAATTGCAACGACCACAACATCTCAAAATTTTCTCAAACTTTACACTCATATAAATAGCCCTATTTTGCTTAAATGACAACATGGGAGACTCTTGGCATTCTTTCAGCCAGCTTCCAGATGTAGCCAGCTGGAATGCTTCTCCAAAAGTCCTGAAGAAGTTTCCACAAGTTGTGGGCACCAATTGACTGCCTTGCTCTTTGATCCAAATCATCCCAAAGCAGCTCTATAGGGTTTAGGTCGGGGGATCATGGGGGACAGTTCATCTGTCACAGCAGTCCATCCCTTTTCTTGTTACTACATAACCTTAAGGTGTGCTTAGGGTCCTTATATAGTTGAAAAACAAATTATTTTAATAGGTGAGTCCAGACATTTGACTGATACTGTTTATTTATTGAATATCCTGCATAAAACAGAACAGGAACCTACCTTTGATTTGAACCAGAAAATGTTTAGCATAATGACCATATTTATGTCCCTTACAGTCTAATGTGTGTTCTTTTATAGTTCTCTCTGCTGTACATTAAGGATCCTTTAGGAATCATGCACAGCTCTGGAATATTGCTACAGAGGCCTCCGCATTTCAGCGACTTCCGTGGCACTAACCTTAACCCACTTTTGGTTCCTGCCCTGCAGAGTCCAAGGTCTTCATTCCTCAATCTGAGTATAGGGTTGAGGAGGATATTGGGGAACTGCTGGTGCCTGTGCGCAGGTCCGGAGATGTCAGTCAGGAGCTCATGGTTATCTGTTACACAAAGCAGGGTGAGGCACCCAGAAGTATTATATGTCACTTCCTGTTTGTATGTTTATATCACTTCCTGTTTATATGTTTATGTCACTTCCTGTTTATATGTTTATGTCACTTCCTGCACATATGTTATAGCCTCCCATATTTTATTAAAAGCCAGCAGAATTCAGTTCTAACATAGTATATGGTACACAAGCTGTTGTCCACCTTCTGCTCTGTGTTACCCTCCTGAAGGTCTTCGGCTCACTTTTTAATTCAGGCACTGCCACGGGCACCATCCCCAGCACGGTACTGTCTTACTCGGACTACATCACCCGGCCCGAGGACCACACCAGCGTGCTGCGCTTTGACAAAGGTCAGCGTGAGAAGCTCTGCCGCGTCATCATCATCGACGACTCGCTATATGAGGACGAGGAGAGCTTTAACATCACCCTTAGTATGCCCATGGGAGGCCTGGTGGGGGCACTCTTCCCCAGTACCCGTGTGGTCATCCTGGCTGACAGCAATGATGGTAAGTGGAACTTGCATATCAGAGGGCAACGGGCCTATAGATTGTCTGACTAGCTAATAGTGGTTTTACATAATCAGCAACACTCATGGTATGTTATCTATATCATTATTTTGCCCTGTCCAGCAGCAGAAATTCTGGTAGATTGTTGGTGCGACAGGAAGGGATGCCTGAAGTAACAGGGGCTGGGATTCAGAACCTCTCAGGTGGCCCAGATGCCATGAGATAACCTTTGGCAGAATAATTGTCTGGATGGATCAAGGCTCTTCCATTTGTTTGGCTCTTGGTCCACCAGAATTTTTATTCGGCAAAGCAGTGAACACTGAGTTGAGCAAGTTGCAGGACAGATTTGCAATGCAAAGCAATACCATGAACTCCATCATTATCATCATCGTCTTAAAGGGCTGGGCCACCAAAATTAAACTCCTGGGCAACTTTCTGTTTGAGGGGCAGAATAAAAAAAAACTTTTAAAAATGTTTAAATCTGCAAACCTTTTTGGAGGACTACCATAAGAATTAAATGCCTCTTTCATCAAGTTCATCTACCTCAATAGACTGTGCCCCAAACACCATCAAATTTACAGCCCTCTCTCGTTTTGATGTCCCTTTGAAAGTAAGATGAAGTCCCTAAAGGGGATTAAATGAGTGGTTTTGTTCCTCTTGGTCAACAATGTGATGTATAAGCCATTCTGATGGTCAGGCCTCTGAAATTTGCCCTCTGATTCATTCTTTAAACCTGTTTGATCTTTCAATGCTCTTTGTGAATGTCAATACCGTAGGTAGGAAAAACACTGCGCCTTAAAAAATATAATCCCTCACAAATGATGACATCAGATCCCAAACCGTACAGTCACACTCCCCGCACTTTGCTCTTTGTGTTTGCTGGGCGAGTCAGTCTCAGGTATATTAAAACCATTGAGCTGCAGTGTGCTTTTTAGTAGTGCGGCTGCACGTGAAAGCCTTTTGATCAGATCCATCCTTTCTGATCAAAGACATGAGAAGAGCGGTCGAGTGTCGTAGGAGTGCTGGATGCATCGGCTGTATGTTCCCCCATTTGAAAGGCTTCCTTAAGTACTCATTATAAATATGATTCCTCCATTATTTATGACACAATAACCTCTGCCTTTGTCTCTCTTGAAGTTTGTCCCTCATTCCTTTCCTTCCCTCTTAAATATATATTCATTCTGTTGAAGGTCGACATTAATTTATATTTCCTGTCTGGGGAGAGGGACATTGCTAAAAGCAGACACACTAATGAGTATGTACTTCAAATAAGCCAGTGATTACTGAGCATGAAAGACTACTTTACAGACTTGTTCATTCATAAAATGGACAGTCTTTCGGGAACAGAATGACAAGGCATCTGTATTGGGTTACTCTGCCAAATGAGTAACGTCCTCTAGTAACACGCTACAGGTGACAGCTCTCCTTGGCAAAAAAAAAGAAGAAAAAAAAAGAACGACGATTGATTGCGATCTGAATGCAAATGTCATTACTGTCAGTTGACAAATTGCCAATTTCTTTACAAACCAAATCTGAGTTAAAATGGGGTTAAAACCATGTCTTCCATATAGAAACCCATTCTACAGTGTGAACTTGGAACACGCCCAAAATCTGCCTCAGAATTTTGGCCATATTTGTTTCCCAGGAGAGTGAACCACTGACATCTGCACAGATCTATTAAGCTCTAGACTGTAGCCTTAGACCATGGTAATTTCTGGAATGTTATCCTCCTTCTGGGAGGAAGGACGGGGTGACAGACAGAAACAACGTCATACTGATCATACAGAATAACCTTCTGCTTCCCAGAAAGTCCTGCAGTATCCTAAATTTTGTGAAGATTAATGTCATTACCTCAGATTTCTGGTAAAGAATGGGCACCTCATTCTTCCCCTGCCAACATCTAACAGCAAATCTTAGATGTGCCAGGGCGTGGCTGGCACCTGAGCTACGTATCATCTGGCTGGTTTTCTCTTTGATGCCCAGCCTCAGCATGTTAGTCTCAGGCCTGCTGTGTGATCCAGGCGTGTCGTCATTGTCAGACAGGAAGCTGAATAGTTTGACACAGCCTTGTGAAACAAGCAAACAAGAAGGGCACAGTCTAACGGCACACTAGATTCATGTTCCCAAACACAGCCCAAGTCGATGTGGGTGGAATTCGTGCCACGCACCAATTCTTTTGTAGCTAGAATTCTTGGTTGGTCTTGGGGGTGCCTGGCCATGGATGGCTGGGACTTTGTGACAAGTTGGCTTGTCATTGACACTGAATGAGCCCACAGGCTTCAGGCTGCCCAGCAAGGGCCTTGGCCTGGCGTGTGCCCAGCGTGGTGCCCTTCACTTCTTGCTGACTCGCCTTTTTCACCAAAGTAGTCTGGGAGCATAACTGCCTCGTTTCACTCGTGGGCGATCAAAGCAATCCGAGGTTCAGGAGCCTTCGGGGACATCGTCCATGATTCTGTGCCTTTAGCCCTGAGGCGGAGAATGAAAGTTTTACAGATAACTGGCGTACGATGTGCTGCTTGAAACCCAGTAGGGTCAAGGGCAGTTTGAGTGGGAGTAGCTTGTGAACTGTGCTACGACAGTGACTTTATAAGCTACTTTTGTTCCACTTCCATCCCTATTATTAGTGTATGTGCCAGCAGACAAAAATACCCTTCAGGAAGGCCTGAATAAGACTTGCCATTTTTATAATTACAAGTGATACTGGGGCCATTTCAACATGTGCTTTGTTTGTAGTTTCCCACTCCCCGTGGTAATCAAAGACACATCGACATAATCAGCACGGTGTGTCCTTAAGTGCCCTCTTCAATGGCACCTGTCCAGGAGCCACCAGGACATGAGGGTAGTAATTGCTGGTTCCTGGACTGGCACAGCTTAGTTACACAACTGCAGCAGGTGACGACATAGATAGAGCGTAAACAGAGGCCGGAAGCGCAAAAGCCATTAACACACCACACATTTACTACTTCAGCTCTAGGTTTACTTGGTTTATAGATAGAGTGCAAGAATTAATACTTTTCATCTTGTCTTTGTGACAGAGCCCTCTCTCTACTTCGGAGAACCCGAGTACTCAGTGGACGAGAGCGCCGGCTACGTGGAGGTCCAAGTGTGGAGGACAGGGACTGATCTGTCCAAGACTGCCACGGTCACAGTGCGCTCCAGGAAAACCGAACAGCTATCAGCTGAGGGTAAGAGGGCAATGGGGGCAACAATGACTCCGATCTGACCTGTTAGTCAGTTGCTTTTATTATTGTTTTTTCTTGTTTTAAATGTTACGTAATTATTAGCTGAAGGAACTCGTGTCCAGAACTTCTGCCCTGCTAGGTTTTGAACCCGGATAGCAGGCAGAGAGTTCCTTGACCCTCATATCACCTGTTTTACCGGCAGCTGGAGTTGACTACGTGGGCATCAGTAGGAATCTGGATTTTGCCTCCGGCGTGACCATGCAGACATTCCGTGTGACCATCCTGGACGACTTGGGCCAGCCGATCGTGGAGGGACCCGAGACGTTTGAGCTGGTGCTGCGTATGCCCATGAATGCTGTGTTGGGAGAGCCCAGTCGCACCACTATTACCATCAATGACACGGTTTCTGACTGTGAGTGTTCGTGATGGGAGGGACTGTGCTGGGTTTATTCATGACAAAGACACCACACAGCCTCATATATCATGAGAAATATTATAAAAGTAATAGCAAGGTGGCTCAGTAGGTACTACTACAGACACACACCTTGAGGGTTGTGGTTCTGAATGTCACCCAACTCCATACAGTGCCAGTCAAAAGTTTGGACACACCAAGCTGCCTACAAAGGAGAGTGGTATTGTCGTATCACATGACCAGGCCACCTGACCTAAATGCAGTAAAAATGATTTTGGTGGAGTTTGACCAGAGAGTGAAGGAAAAGCAACCAACGAGTGCTCTGAATAGATGTGGGATCTTCTTCAGGACAGCTGGAAAAACATTCTAAGAGTCCTCATGAAACTGGGGTAGAGGAGAATGTGGGATCAGCCAGTCCACGGAGCAATTGGGGTTAATTGCCTTGCTCAAGGGCCCAGTGGTGGTATCACAGGACCATGGGATTTGAACCGGCAACCCTATGAGTTCCAACACACAGAGCTGCCCACCCCACCCAACAAATGTTATTTTTTTTAATGCCTTTTTGGTCAGTGTATAATTCCATAATTATTGCAAAATGTAGTGAACAGTACACATAAACCTTCATATGGGTAGGTGTGTCCAAACTTTTGACTGGCACAGTATGTGTGGAGTTTCCATGGGTTTGCTCCAGGTACTCACTCTCTGTCTGAATATGTGCATTCAACCAAATATCGACCTAATTCACTGTGGTGTGTTTTGTGTGGGAATTGGTGCCCTGTGATGGCGTACCCTAGGCTGGGATAGGCTCCAAGTTCACCACAACCAGCCAGATAAGTGGCAGGAAAGATGAGCAGAAAAAAATAAGATGCATCATATATCATACAACGGGCAAGCAAAATGTAGATTTGTTATATAAGATGGTTGGGATGTTTATTGATGCTGAGAGACGTCAGGAATCTTGGCTGAGCATGGTACACACTCATTAGCATTTTGCTCTGCGTCAGTGCCCAAGGTACAATTCAAAGACCTCATGTATCGGGTGGACGAGGCAGATGGGAAGGTCCGTGCCATGTTGTACCGCAGTGGAGACCTTAGCCACAAGTCCACAGTGAGGTGCTATACCCGCCAGGGCTCTGCACAGGTGATGATGGACTATGAGGAGCGGCCCAACACTGACAGCTCCATCATCACCTTCCTGCCAGGTAACCTCCTACCCAACTGTCCCTCAGAGTTACTGTTTGCATGCCTTAAAAGATCAAGAGGCCCTCTTTGACCTCAACTCTTTGCCTTGGGCTCACAGGAGAGAGCGAGAAGCCATGTACAGTGACGTTGGTAGACGACTCGATATATGAGGAAGAGGAGGAGTTCCGCCTGGTGCTTGGGACGCCACGAAGCGAGTCGTCATACGGCGCTTCGCTGGGAGAGCAGAAGGAGGCAGAAGTCAAGATAACGGATGAGAAAGACAGTGAGTGCTTTGCTGAGTCTTTTCCATGGTACCTTGGCTTCTGGTGGGTGTGTGTGTTTCTGAATGACTTATTGTTGCAGGTTAGTCCTGGTAGGGTTTAAAATGAGGTATGTCTGGTAGGTCTATCTAGGACTGTTTTCCCAGACCTCTACAAGACCAATCCCTAGGACCATTGCTCTCTTTCCTCACCCCTCCACAGAGCCCATCATCCAGTTCTCAGAGATCAAGTACAGCATTCGGGAGCCGCAGATCCCAGGGCAGAAGGCTGTTGTGAAAATCCCCGTCTTGCGTCTGGGAGACACCTCAAAGGTGTCTTTGGTGCGGGTCCACACAAAGGATGGCTCAGCCACATCAGGAGAGGACTACAACCCCCTATCAGAGGGTAAATTCCGGGATGTTTAATAGACATTCTCAGCTATGGCTTTGTCTTGAAGAATCCTTGTACTGCTGGTTTCCAAGCCTTGCATGTTTATGGGCTGTGGCAAAACTGTGTCTTGTTCCCGTGTCAGATGTGGAGTTTAAGGAGGGTGAGAAGGAGCATATCGTGGAGGTGCAGATCCTGTATGATGGCCAGAGGGAGATGAGGGAGGCTTTCACCGTGCACATGAAGCCCGATGAGTACATGGTGGCTGAGATACAGGTGAGGGCAGCAGGTTTAGACCTTCCCGTCTACCAACTAACCCAGAAGGGGTCTATGAGGATTAAATCCCAACCTTGGAGTTTTAGCCAAAAAGCCTCAAGAGCCTGAATACTGGCAGTGAAAACAACAAGACAGCTGCTGCCTTTGAACCACACTGCATCCAGAAAACAGCTGGAACTTTGCTTTCAAAATTCATACCACACATTTGCTTCTTAGTGTGCTGCCTGGCCTAAAAACTACTCAATGTTTCTATCCTCTGCATCTCTTCCCAACTTGACCCTAGTGTCCCTAAATACCTAGTGGGTAGTTGTCTTAACCCATGAATGGCCTCGTCCTCAGATGAGCAAAGCCATCGTGTACATTGAGGAGGTTGACAGTGTGGCGGACGTCACCTTCCCCGCCGTGCCCCAAGTGGTGTCCCTGCTCACGTATGATGACACAGCACGTGCTAAGGACAACCCACACCCCGCTACTGGCTACCCCGTTGTCTGCGTGACGGTAAGGTTCTCACACACATCTCACACACGACACCAAAGTTTGTCTCACCTCCAAGACCTTCTGCTCCCAATCTTACTACAAAGCAAGAAATGATATAACAATAATAATAATAGTACTGCCTCCTACCTTGACCCTCCAAATCTCAACCCCAAGGCCTGCAACCCCAAGTACTTTGACTTTGACAAGACGGGCTCCATCTGTTCAGCGGAGAACATCAACGACACGCTGACACAGTACCGCTGGTTGGTGAGCGCGCCAAGTGAGGCCGACGGCGTCACCAGCCCCATGCGCGAGGTCGACACCAACACATTCTTCACCAACACCAAGTCCATTACGCTGGACTCCATCTACTTCCAGCCAGGCTCACGTGTACAGTGCGCTGCACGGGCCTACAATGCCAACGGTGACGCCGGGCTGGAGCTCAGTAGCCCTGTAGTAGTGATCAGCAGGGAGGAGGGTGAGTGTACCTATCTGAGAGCCAGTCACATTGTTTTCCTCTATATTAGGGTGACCGGATAATCCATGTCAGGAATTTCACTGAAGCTCTTACTGTGTGCTGATTAGCCAGTCTCCTGTAAACATGCATGTGTCACTAATGTTAATATGAAACAGCTGGATGAGTCTTTCAATCAAGGAAACAAACCAATCGAAGTGCAAGAACTGAACTGTTTAGCCAAACATAGGAGCCTTTCAGTTTTAAAGTGGTTTGTAAAACTTGAAGTAGCTCAAAGTGTCCTCCCTGACATGGATTATCTGGTCACCCTACCTACATCCTTAAAAATCTGGATTAATGCTTTTTCCACCTCAGTCCTTTCATATCGCATATGTTGAAGTCAACATTCAGTCAACGATCTTTAAACATTTCAGTAAGTTGGGTGTTGTCATCTTCTCATATAGGTCTTTGTCAGCCTCGTATCCCGGGAACAGTGGGGGCAGAACCCTTCTCAGCCAAGATTCGCTACACGGGGTCCGATGATCCAGACTTCCCCAACCTCATCAAGCTGACGGTCACTATGCCACACATGGACGGTAAACAGCCCCATCTGCAGCAACTGCTGCATCAGCAACATGTGCGAATGTTGCACATGGTCGCTAAGCAGGCTTTATTTACCCCCAGGCATGTTACCAGTGATCTCCACTCGACCTCTATCCAATTTTGAGTTGACTCTGAGCCCCGACGGGACTCGCGTGGGCAACCATCGCTGCTCCAACCTGCTGGATTACAATGAGGTCCAGACTCGCTACGGCTTCATCACCGATGGCACCAAGAACCCGGAGATCATTGGCGAGACGGCGCCATACCAGTACAGTGCAGGGATGCGGAGCACCAACTCGCTGCGGTTCTACCGCAACCTGAACCTGGAGGCCTGCCTTTGGGAGTTTCACAGCTATTACGACATGTCTGAGCTGCTGGGCGACTGCGGAGGGTCGATTGGCACAGATGGCCAGGTACCTTTCTGGGCAACTTATAATATCATGGGAAATTGTATAAAACAGGGACTCCTGCCAAGTTCATATTATTTAAAGCTGCCTCCTTAAAAGATGTTCATTTGATATTATGACTATTCACAGCACCACGGTAAATCTGTATGTGACTGCGATATAGATGTTACATTTTTATTTAGTGTGTACAAAACAGCCGTAGCAAACTATTTGTGCCTCTATTTAAGCAATTTTGGTTTAAAAGTTCTTTTAGGATCACAAGATTTGAGTCCAGTTTCTTAACCAATAGAACATCTGCTTCCCAATGTCTTTGAGTGCTTGAGTAGTAGCTCTCAATGCAGATGTTATGCTAACAGCTATCTAGACAGCGACTAATCATGGTGGTCTCTAGCTGTCTGTGGAACGGCCCAGTGCCTGTCTCTCCATTAAAACCCAGATAATTTCTAAAAATGGTGTCTGTCTCTATTGGTCCCCCATGCAGGTCCTGAACCTGGTGCAGTCCTATGTCACCTTGCGCGTGCCCCTGTTTGTGTCCTATGTCTTCCACTCCCCTGTGGCGGTGGGTGGCTGGCAGCATTTTGACCTGCAATCGGAGCTACGGCTGACCTTTGTGTACGATACCGCCATCTTGTGGCAGGACGGCATCGGCAGCCCCCCAGAGGCTGAGCTACAAGGTGCCCCCCTGCTCTTTGCTGCCCTCTTCTGGCCATGTGTTAAAGTCTTCAAAAAAAATGTTGTATAGTTCTTTTCATAACATTTTAATTTACTTTTGTTATTTTCTATTACTTTATAAAACCTGTTGCTGATAATTTTGGACTTACGCTGTTGGACCTAGGAGGATGGGCTCCCCCTTTGAGTCTGGTTCCTCCCAAAGTTTACTCCAGCTTGGGAGCATTTCCTTACCACTGTTGCCTATGGCTTGCTCTAGGACAGGGATGTCAAACTCCAGTCCTGGGGGGCCGGAACCCTGTGTAGCTTAGTTCTTTCCCTGTTCCACCATAAATGATTCAGCTCAAGAGCTGTGTGGTAATTAGCACAATGAGTTGAATCAGGTGTGTTAAATGAGGGGAAACCCAAGAATGTGCAGGGCTCCGGCCCCCCAGCACTGGAGTTGGGCACCCCTGCTTTAGGGGAACTATTGAGCAGAAGCAATATAAAGCACTTAGACAATGTTGTATTCTCAAAATGTGTTACATAAATAAATTTGAATTGAATTTTTTAAAATCCCACTATTGCTAACAGTTCTGTATGAATTCTGCTTGAATTGTCCCCTTTATGTAAAATGGTTCCTTGCCTCCACAGGATCCATGTATCCCACCAGCATGAGGATCAATGAGGAGGGGCGCCTAGTGGTCAACTTCAAGACAGAGGCGCGATTCCGGGGACAGTTTGTCATGTCGCACCCAGGTTTGACGCTACATTCCCTCCAAGCCCTTGTTGGCATGCGGCGTAACCTGGCAACTGTTACTCAGGATACCATTACCAGCCTTTTATGAGCGATGACCCTAAAACCTACTCGGGGTGGAACAGAGAGGTAATGGATTTAACAAAAGTGCCTGGGAAGGAATGAAAAGAGATGGTTGCTTTGGCGTCAGTACAAGAAGAAAAATGGGTATTTGGTTATAGGAACGATCACAACTAGGTATAGGTTTTGAGTTGTGGTTGTGTGTCAGGGCCTGGGGGTTATTCCACGAAGCAGGATTTCTTGCTTAGCCGGATAACTTATCAAATGTAAGGTAGTCTGAGATAGATGGACATTATCTTTGTTCACTTGCATTTAGCCCAGACTACCTTAAATCTGGCAAGTTATCTGGCTAAGTAAGAAATCCTGCTTCATGAAACAGGCCCCTGAAGTCTTTTTGGATTGATAAGAGGTATGAGTTAAGTGAATGTACGCATGTACACATCCCCTGACCATTACCCCTCGATTCCATACCTGCCTCAGGAACATCCCTGTCGTCCATGGTTATGTCAGTGGACCACCCAGGCCTCACCTTCACGCTGTCACTGGTCAGGACTGAGCCCACCTACAACCAGCCCATGCAACAGTGGAGCTTTGTGTCCGACTTCGCTGTGAGTTCCCGCTGAGGATTTCCCGCTAAACACCTGCAGGGCTTACTTTGCAGAAAATACCCGCCGCTTTGGCTCTTCGCACGTCCTGGGATATTTTCCGTCAAGATCAGTACTTTCTTTTCTTTCATTTCTTTGCCTTCCCTTTCCCCATTTTTGAATTGTTCTGTATAAACGATGCAGGAATGTATTACAACACATCCATGTCAAGCGCCTTGTGAAAAGCTCTATATAAAAATAAGTTGATTTAAATTGAACTGAAAAGATAAAACAGCAAGGCCCCTTTCAGGATTGGAACCAGCGACCTCTAGGAAGTCCGCACCTTTAAAGAGAATGCGTGTAATTAGATTAGGCCTGTGGATTATTTGTGGGACTGCAGCCGCTCCGCGGTCCGGCATAGAGTCCATTAGGGGGTGTCGTGCTTTTGCTAAGGAGGCCAGCATGCTTTCTCCTGCAGGTGAGGGACTATTCGGGCACCTACACCGTGAAGCTCATCCCATGCATCGCGGCCCCCAGCCGGGAGTTCAGCATTCCCCCCGTCTGCCACCCCAGGGAGCCCCTCACCTTCGATGTGGACATCCGCTTCCAGCAGGTGAGGGACAAGATCTCCTGCAAAGGGTGTCCATGGGTGTTTATCAATACCAAGAATGCAAAGAACCTACTAGTGTTCTTGTTAACTTTCCTCCCAAGAACAAACATGCAAGAACACGAAGACAGAGAACGTACCAGTTGTGGATTGAGATGATATATACTTGCTGTTCCTCTGTACCCGTATTATTCAAATCCCGGTCCTCGAGGTCCGAGCACTGCTGGTTTTCCAGCCTTCCTTTACCTGTGAGCCAGGTGTGAAGCCTCTGACCAATCAGAATCAGTAATTATTAAACTAACTACCTGGGAGAACTGAAAACAAGGCCTGGATTTGGAATCGAGGTCCAGAATTGAAGAGCCCTGCTCTATGCCCAACTTTTATCATAGTATATAATAAATATGACAACTAATGCAAGTGACTAACTATGCCTGATATGACTACATGTGCTTTTTCTTAGAGCCAATGGGTGATAGCAACATGAAACTTGGGAAACACTAAGTTCTTCCACCCTGTTCTGAGTAGGTCTTCAATCTGCCCATCACTATCCCCAGGTCAGCGACCCAGTGGCAGCTGAATTCACCCTCAACACCCAGATGTTCTTGCTGTCCAAGAGGGAGCTGTGGATCTCTGATGGTTCCATGGGCTTCGGGGAGGGTGCGGATGTGGCCTTTTCAGAAGGTACCAAATCTCCCCCTCCGAGCCGTCCAGTGAATTTAACCTCCCACCCTTTTAATATGCAGTACATCTCTATGCCCATAACCCCTACAGTGTCATCAGCTTCTGAATCTCCTCTAGGGTCTCACATCTATGGGCGCGTGATGGTAGACCCCGTGCAGAACTTGGGTGACTCCTTCACGTGCAGTATCGAGAAGGTCTTCCTGTGCACTGGTATCGATGGATACGTCCCCAAATACAACCCCATCAACAAGGAGTATGGATGTCTGGCTGATGCCCCATCTCTGCTTTACAGATTCAAAATCCTGGTATGCCAGCATGTTCTCAAATTAGTGTGCTCCATCCATCAAATCCCTTTGATCCAGAGCAATGATGAGTCGTAGTTATATACTGTATGTTAAATAGCTCTGTTGTTCACGTACAAGTTACAGTACAGTAATCGGATACAAAGAAATGAGATTTCCTAATTTTTTCCATATAGTCTTTCAGTTTCATAGATAGGAAATTGAGTGAATGAAACTATGTATACAATTAGCTCTGCCACTTATTTGCTGTATGCTGAAACTAGTATCTATTGAGTGTGCTGTACAGTTGGTTGAGTGCCTAGAGCGTGTGTGCATCTCTGCTGTAGGACAAAGCACAGCCAGAGACGCAGGCCACAGTTTTCGGGAACATCCGCTTCGAGGCCTCGCTGGCAGCAGACACTGCAGGTGCTCTCTCGCTGGTCCAGCAGCCCGGCTCAGATGGCTTTACCCTGTCCTCATCGCCGCTCTTCCAGGTGAGGTCCCCAACCACACACTTGCTCGTCGTTGCCCTATGCTCTTTCGCTTCAGGAGGATAGTGAGATCATGGTGAGCTCTTGTATCAACAATGGGTGTGGCTTTTGTGGCCAATTCCTGTAAATACTACAGGTCTCCCAATTCTGTTGTCTATGTAGTGTATTGATTTGTGACAAATACTTCCTTCAATGGGAACTTCAAAGGTTTTCGACAGTAAGCACCAACATTCTGAAACTCTCAACCTCCTGTACACTCTCCAGGTGGCAGCTGGGCGCGAATGGTACATCCACACCATCTACATGGTTCGCTCCAGGGACAATGCTAACCGTGCACTGGGAAAGAGGAGTCTGGAGTACCTCCACAGCGTCTCTGGCGTGGGTCGGAGTCGGAGTCGCCGGGCCTCCCAAGTCGAGGTGGAGACGATCGGTTCGGAGAACAGCCGGGGCACTAACATCCAGCACATCGCTCTTGACCGCGGCGACAGGTTGAGAGTGAACCAGCGCGAGCCCTGGCCGGTCCTCGCGGAGCATCCTGATCGCCCCCTGCTGGACAGCTTTGGGAGGGAGTCTGGCAGTACAGTAGAGCAGCTGCCCATGGTGGTGGGGCTGGCGAGCCTCGTCCTCCTCATCTGCATTGCCGTCCTCGCCGTCATCCTCCTGCTTTGGTGGAGGCGGCGCCGCACCTCCGAGAAGAAGCTACCACCCTTTTCTTCCTCGTCCTGCTCGGCTTATCAAGGCAGCAGCCACAGCAGCAGAGAGACCATGAGCAGGAGGAACAGCTCCGAGGTGTAACCAGTCCCCCCCCCCCCTCACTGATCCCTCACCCCCCACTTTTGCCCCCTTTCCCCTCTGCTGGCTGCTCAAAGTCCCAGTCATCCTGGTGCCTTCTGGCAATAGCACTGAAGTCACCTCTCTCCACCTTTCAAACGGTGCATAACTACCCCGCGTGCAAGGCCACGAGGAGGACTGTCGGCTTTCAACCAGCGCGTCAATGCATGAAGGGACGCCCTGACCTGGAACACAGGGCTTATTGAACAGCGTTTACTCCCACTGCTACAGGCATAGGCATTAATATGGGCTGGAATCCCCACTACACATCTTAGTGTCATTAGCACATAGACTTGCATTGGTAAATTCGTATATTGAAAATGCTACATCTAAACCTAAACGGCTGCCCTGGTTGCCAAGCGACAAGACGTTTTCCCCAGTAGGTAGGAATGGTTGGCATTTGAAAGCTCAGAAAATGCCTAATCCAAGGTGAAGACGGTTCCCCAAAAGGGACAAAAAAGCATACTGAGGCTCTCTCCAGGTGCAACAATTAAGGTAGTCTCCCTTATCCCCTTGAGCAACAAGCAGCTTTGACAGAACTTTCTGGATGATTTCTTAACACTAGTTTACTTGGTGTTTTTTATATATAGTTCTGTGTAAAAATCGTGTGGTTTTTTTTTCCCTCAGTAAAAAACTGTCAATATGGGCAACTCATTGTACTATTCAGGCTACGCCGTGACAAGGCTTTGGGGTCTCACTTGGAAAGTAGGTGATGTTCACCCCTGCCGGAAGTGTCTGCCCAATTAACCTGTTTTTATAATAATTGTACCCTGCTGCACTTTCAATATACCTGTTCCCACTTCAACAGAACATTGATATGGTGCTACAGAAAGGGATTGTAATGTAATTGTAACCTGTGAGGTGCATTAACAATTCAATGACTTTTATACATTTTTCAGGACTTTTCAAAGGCGATTGTGTGTATCCTAAGTGTGCTACCTATGTACCTATCATAGTAAATGAGTAAAGAAACATTAAGGACATTAGCACACGCTGGTACATATTGAAATATTGTGAACCACACATTGTGCGATGTTCTACTGTTCTCAAAATGCTAAGTAAATGATTTTCCAAAGGAAGTGTGTCGCATGGGTATTTTATAGCTATCAGCAAAGGTGACAGGGGTCAATGCCGGTGTACTTGCATCTCCAAACTTCTCTGATCACACACACTTGAGGAAGGTGATTTTCATTTTTAATAGTCAACACCTGAGCGGGTATTAACAATGGATGATTTTCAGTTTTACACACTTTTTTTTTTCCAGCCAAACATCAGTAATGGTCAATCTTCACCTAGTAACAGTGAATCCACTTATATATAAACATAGACTAATGTCTCTAGCTATGGGTAAACACCCATTTTTGGGGCAGATCTCAAATTTCAACAGATTTACAAAAATTGAAGCCCTATTTTATGTGTACATTTTCTACTCCAATTATAGAGGTAAACACGGCATCTTGGGGGGGGGGGGGCGGGGGTGTTTAAAAGCAATGGAATGCAGTAGTTCACCAAAGGTATAAATAAAACGCATTTTAAAAAGTAGCACAATATCCATTAATGTTAGAAAAGGGGGTTTCAAAAAAATAGTTTCTGCACTCGTGCAGTATTTCGGAAGTCACCATAAGACATGTACTACTTGTTCCAGTACGTCAACTGAAGCTGGGGTTTGTACAGTACATAATCACAACCCGTAAAACAAACACAGCACTATCGTCCCTAAAAGCTAGAGACTGGCCGAGTCGTGCCAGGAATCGCTTCATATCTTCAGCTTCTTCCGCCGCCCCCGGCCGTCCGGGGCACCTTCTGCCTTCCGCTTCTGGGCCTGAAAGCAAAGATGCACCTTAAACGTTGCACTTCAGCTCTGATGGGCGTGAAACATAGAAGACGCGCAAGTAAAAAGTCACATTTAACAGTCATGGAGAGCACTATCAGACAGGTGGACTGTGTCAACGTACTGAGGATGTCCGAGGTCCTCGCTTTTTCTTCTCTGCTTTCTCCCTCTCCTCCAGCTCCATGTTCTCTCGCTCTATCAGCGTAATCAAAGTATTGCATCGCCTCTGAAGCTCCTATGCACAAACACACATACATAAACGAATCAGATTTTGTCATCATTAAGGAGTCTGCTTCCATTTTCCGGTGCCTGGCTGCACCCACTCCCTCACCATGGCAGTCCTTGACTTGAGGAACCAATCGAAGCGGAACTGGGGGGAGTTGCGGATGCACTGCCTGAGCTCGTCGTAGACGCTCTCCTTGTCGAAGCCCAGCTTGTGCAGCATGCAGATGAGGAAGCGGTCCTCCTCCTCTGTGTAGTTCTTGCCCTTGTTGGTGCCGTAGGATATCCTCAGCTGGTGGAAGGGTGCCTTGTAGCGCCCAATCTGATAGCGAGAAGAACGAGTTACACAGGCGAGCCTTACACCATGAAGGGCTACATTAAAGTTCTTATGGCCCCAGATGACAAGCCCCCATGCAATCATACGTCGTTTTGGGTTTTAATAGAATTTAGAACACAAGAACAAAGGACCGCACAGACAGACGTTTCCTTTTACCTTAGAATCCAGAGCTTTTTTAATGCTTATCCTTCTCTGAATCCGGGCCTCTCCACGCTCAATCTGGGCCATGATCTTCTCAATGTCCTGCAGCTCATTGCACCTCTCCCAAAAAACAGCTACACGCACACAGACACGAAGAAACACACAAAACAAAATGTATCCAGCCTGCAATCCTGTCCATTCTTTAATTTTAGCTGAAACGTGAAAGCTTGGGAGTCTTACCGGAATATTCCATGACCTCTTCTGGGGTTTTTCCCTCCACCTCACGAGCGATGTTTTCAATATCATCACGGCCCCACTTCTCATTAGCTTTGATGAACTGATTGAAATCTCGTTTGTTCCAAATAGTAAAACCCTGAGTAGAGAAAAGACATGGGATAAAACAAACATCAGATTGTTGTTTTAATCACCCTGACCAAGACGCCAGTAAGCATATCAGAGTGCTGTGGTGTCCCACAGGGGTTGTGATGGTTACCTGTGACAGGAGACCCTCCTTCTCCTCCAGCTCCTCCTCAGTCAACGGTTCTGCTTCATCAATCTTGCTCTGTTCTTCCTTCTGGACCTGTGCTGAATTGGGCAAGTCAGGGTTTCGGGGGACCTGGTGGAAAAACAGCACATCATTAAATTGATGAACCCCCCCAAGAAGATATAAATATAATTGAGCCAATGAAAAGGTGAAGATACACAGGGCAACTTTATGAGCAATATTGCTGACCAGTGCTGCTCCGGCACTTTCTCATTAATATTGGGCAAGAAATTTCGATTTGAAAAACCTTAACTGGCAGTGGGCAAGTTTTTCTGATCATCCAGATTCAGATGAGATGCCTTTCGCCTCACCTGGTGGGCAACTGCCCAGCGGCTTCGCTCAAGAATTTGCCCTGTGTATCATCACCTAGAGACATTCAGGATTAATGTCAGGATTAACAAGGTCTGTTACGATTTCCAACACAGCACCTTGTAGCCAATGGTTTTTCTGTAGAACAAGATCTCCTTCTCCAGCAGCTCAAAAAGACGAGGTGGGAAGAACTGGAAGTCTTGAACATTGGGCTGTTTTGGAGGACGAGGGGCCTGCAGAAGTAAAAGAAGTTTAGCGATGTCAGCCAGCTTCACTTACCCTCATACAGTAGACCTCAAACCCCGAGCTCTGACTCACCTTCGGAACCTTGGGCTCACTAACACGCAAAGCCTCCCTGAAGTACGCATCTACCGCATAATTGGCTTTGCGTTCTCTCTTTGGGGGCTCAATCCAGTTGGTGATGACCTGTAACAGTACATTTCAAAATGAGCACAAAATTCCAGACATTTCTGAAAGTCTTGGATAGTTCAGGCACCAAACTGTTATTTTACCTTCTTCTTCTCTCTGTAGTCCTCCCCTTCAAAGTTGTACACACTGTTGTCTGTGTCCATGGTAAAGTTCCTCAGAGAGTTTTCACCCATTGTGGACAGCTTCTGTTTCATCTCCATGGTCTACGAGGCAGAATCACAATGAGCCATTCTAACAATAGGCAAGACGGAGCCATAATGGCGCCACAAACTATCCAAAATGGGCTCAAAATGAACCTTCTTCTCCCCTCTCTCCAGTATCGCATCAATGTCCTCGTCTGTGATCTCGCTCTCCTTGGACGCGAACACGTGTGTGGCTCCATGGCGAATTATAGACAGCATCTCATCCTTGCCTAGCTTGTTCAGGTTCTGGTCCACTAGCCGGCCTGCAAATCGGAGACGAAGTCAACTTCAGCAAGTCATTCACAACTAAAGGTTTACCAGGCCCTTGTTGAACTACTTTCATCTGTCATTTATCAGTATAATTAAAAAATATGTTCTCAAATGTTTTAGCTATAGTTTATGCAATTATGAGATTGATCAAATTGATGGTCACCTTGCTGAATGACTATTGAGTCCAGACGAAGCTTCATCTCTGCCCTTTCTACAATCCTCTCCTCCACGGTGTTCTCTGTGATGAAGCGGAATACCCGGACCTGCTTCTTCTGACCAATCCTGTGTGCTCGGTCCTGACAAGAGCAATTACGTCGGTGAGACAGATCACAAGCTGATGCCAAGACCTGAACCTTCTTTGTGCCGCTCGACTAAAGTCAGGTACAGAACAATGAAAACAAACTAACCATCGCCTGGAGATCTACTTGGGGATTCCAGTCCGAGTCGTAAATGATGACCACATCGGCGGTGGCTAGGTTGATACCGAGGCCCCCAGCGCGTGTGCTCAACATGAAGAGGAATTTTGGACTGTTGGGTTCATTGAAGGTGTTGATGGAGCTCTATGGGGGCAGGGGGTGGGTGGTGAAATAACATGAATGAGACTTCTCAATGCAGTAAGCATCCCACTATGTAAGAGCTAATCCAAGGGCGGCAACATGCCTCTCTCTCCTCGTGAGCAGTCTGCCCGTCAAGGCGGCAATAGCCATAGTTTCTCCACATGCAGTAGTCCTCCAGGATGTCCAGCATCCTGGTCATCTGGCTAAAGATCAGCACTCGGGACCCTAAATGGGGGAGAGGGTGCATAAATGAACAATTAAGATACCAACTAATGACTTCACACAACAGAAGAACATAAGGGATGCACAGGCAGCCATGACAACCGAGGGACACGGATGGGCAAGGATGGACACGTTGAGGTCTCCCAACCTTGCTCCTTCAGCTTGGGCAACAGTTTGTCAAGCACAGCCATCTTGCCACTGTTGACGACTAGGTGCAGGTCTGTGGTGTAGGGAGGGCCAGGCTCAGCTCCGTCAAACAAATACGAGTGGTTGCAGCACTTGCGAAGCTGCATCAGGATGTTGAGGAGCCGCATCTTGTCCATCTTGCCAGCGGAGTTCAAAATGTCAATGTCTTTCATCAGAATCTTGGTGTACCTGAAAGTTGAGGAGGAAGGAGACAAACCATGACTTCTCCCCACAGAGGTCTGAGAGAAGCAAAGTGGGACACCATGTACGTGCAGACATGCTGCAGGCATAGAGCTCACTGCGTAGCTCTTTCAAGGCCTTACACCGAAGTACATCATCACCCGTCGTCCATGAACACCAAGCAGGGTACTCACCACTCCCGCTGCATTTTACTGAGGCCCACATACATCTTCACCTCTTTTTTTGGCAAGAGGGTCTTCTCCACATCAGCTTTGATACGTCGAAGCAGGAAGGGGCGCAGAACCTAGTTCGTCATGAGGGATGGGGGAAAAAAAATTAAATAAATGAGGCCAGTCATTCAAGGTACACAGTCCCGAATAATGAGTGGAAAGAAAATGTAGAACAAGCAGTATCCAACTTACGATATGCAAACGTTCCACTAGTTTCTGGTCTCCAAGGCAGTTATTAGTGTCAAACCAAGAATCAAAATCCTTTAAAAAAATAAATAAAATAAAAAAAAAGGTTAGCCCAGTTAAAACTAAAATGCATGAATTTATTTTATATATATATATATAAATTATTGGTTATAAGTACAGATAAGTTTGCAGTACAGGTACATCATATATATATGATGTACCTGTACTGCAAACTTATCTGTACTTATAACCAAATAATTTCCTGCATTAAATCATTCTGAATGGCTGGCCAGTTTCTTAATACTACTTATTCTTGAAAATAGCATATCTCAGACATTAAACACACACTGTTCTACAATATCAGAGCTCTTACTTCCGAGGAGTTGAACACATCTGGAAGGAGGAAGTTGAGCAGAGCCCAGAGTTCATGCAAGTTGTTCTGCAGTGGGGTTCCAGTCAGCAGCAGCCGATTGGTCGTCTTAAATTCTCTCACAATCTCCGAGAGCTTTAAATGAAATGCCAAACGTTTGCTTAAACCAAAACACAAGTCGCACATGGACAAACTGAGGAGTGTTATCAGGCTCATCTCCGTGTCGAGTTCTTAACAACGTGGGACAGAATGCAATAGATCAAATGTGAATAACCAACAGCACACAAATGGCAGTTTAGATGGGGTCGGTTATAAATAGCAGAAATCCCACCTTTGACTTCTCATTCTTGATCCTGTGAGCCTCGTCAATGACCAGGTACCTCCAGTTAAACCTTTTGAACACCGCCTTCTCCCTGATCAGCATCTCGTAGGAGGTCACGCACACGTCCCACTCTCCCGGCAGGAGCACGTCTCGTATGAATGCAGTCTGGCAACAATGAAAGGGCACCGTCATTCTATTTCATAATGTCGACCAAATTCATTTACTAAAGGTCAGGCTGTTGGCGCAAAAACAGCACCGACAATGGGCTGTGGAAAAACTCCTGTTCAGAGGTCAACAGTAAATATAAAGCACAGAATCAAAGCATTAATATTTAAAAACTACCTTTTGCATGAGAATTTGAATTTCACATAGTAGAAGTACATACAAAGTACATACAGAAAACAGGACTCATCACAGGGCGCGCACACACACACAATTCACACCTATGGACAATTTGGTAACTCAATTTACTTTAGCATGCTTTTGGACTGAGGGGGGAGCAGAGAACCTGGAGGAAACCCCACAATGACACGGGGAGAATGTGCAAACTCCACAGACAAGGCGCCAGGGCAAAGACTTGAAGCCAGGTCTCCGATGCGTGAGGTAACAATGTCGCCATGCCACCCATCCAAGTACCAACTGAACAAATTAACATTCTCAATAAACTAGGATTTCACTTGACATACCATCAATGCCAGCAGTCTTCAATAAATCAAAAAAAACAGCACATGCAAGAGCTCACCAAAGCCTGGAGCTATTTAAAAAAAATCTCACAGAAAAGCTTGACAACGAGAACTAAACAGAAAAGGAGCAAAGCCGGATGCTTCATTACGAGAGACCCCAACTGCTCACCCTTTCTTCCCTGCCACCAATGAGGCAGACGGCACGGAGGGACGGCACCCAGCGCTTGAACTCATTCATCCAGTTGCACAGCGTGGATTTAGGGACCAGCACCATGTGGGGCCCTGGAATGTTCCGGTAATGCTTCATGTAACCGAGCAGGGAGATGGTCTGCAGAGTCTTACCCAAACCCTGAGTGAGAGAAGGACCATCACAGATGGAAATACACATTTAAAACTGCCACAACTTAAATCTCAGCATTGGCAGCACATAAACTGACTGAACAGTGTCGATATCCTAACACTGACACGCACCATTTCATCAGCAAGGATCCCGTTAATTCCATTCTCGTAGAGGGAAATCAGCCAGTTTAACCCACGGACCTGGTAGTCCCTCAGTTTCCCAGATTTTACATCTGTAGAAAGAAAAACCCACCAGGTCAATATGCATGAGGTGGTGACACCCGGAAGACAACCTGAAGGCTGATTCCCCATCTGATCACTGGGAATTAATGTGCAACTACTCACAGGAGGGGGATTCGTCAAAACGGGTGCAGATGTTGGTGACCTTGCTGTTCTCATTCAGGAGCTCCTCATCCTCTTCCTGCTCCGTGCGACGATGACGGTTGCTACAAGGCGGATTAATTAACTGCTGTTTCAACAAGGTAGGAACCTCCCAGGAGATTGCTGAAGTTGCAGCTAAGGATGTGATCCGATTCTGAAGCCTGGCCACATACACATGGTATACTTACTCTCCCGCCGACAGGAGGTTCTGTTTCTCATCCTTCTTGATCCGTGGACGACCTGGTTTCATCTTCAAAGGGGAGGTTGGAGTTTTCTGGGCCGCAGGCTGAATGAAGTGAGCAAACACTTCCGTCTGCTTCAGCAGGTACTCAAATCTGTTGGTCCGATCTGTTTGCTGAAAAACAGACAAGTAAATCATCACACTGACATCTGCAATGGCACTGAACTACACACAAATTCAGCAATTTAAATACATCCAAAGCAAAATTCACTAACTCTTTAAAGGACAACACTTTATATATAATATTAAATACTCATGAGAATTAAATTTACATTCTGAATCCAACCAGCAAAACAAATAAAGGTCAGATCATTTCAGGTACCAGAATTACACTATTTATTACCATTTTCTCTTCATAGCCTGGAAGACTTTTGGTCTCTTGTCCGGAAGGAAAAAACTCCTCACCGTAACTCTTTCCAGGCTCTTCATCCTTAAAAACAAATTTGCAATCCCTTTTAAAAAACAAAGCATCACTTTGGATACACTGAGGATTGTGTGTGTGTGTGTGTGTATATGTATGTATATATGTGTGTGTGTGTGTGTGTGTATATGTATGTATATATGTGTGTGTGTGTGTGTGTGTGTGTGTGTATGTATGTATACACACACACACACACACACACACACACACACATATATACACACACACACACACACACACACACACCATGAGGTGTGTTCTAGATGTTTTTATCCAAAGCAACCGAATGAACACTTAAAACGTGTCAGACACTTCAATCAAAAAGTGCTGCAAAGCAGACAGCACCCAGGGCGACATAACCATCCAAAACTACTAAGTGGTAAAAAGGCAAACTCTACAAAGCTTAGAAGAAACGGCAGTGTCTGTGGAGTTTCAGTTTTGGGTGCGTAGTCAAAATCATTAGACATGGTCTACAAGAAATACGTGGCGGGATATTACCGCTGTGTATACAAAACCTAGCAACGAGTTTGAAGACGCCATTGTACAGGTGGGGAAGGCAAAATGTGACATCGGACTCGGATTAATAAGGTGATTACCCGGCAGTGGTTAAAATTTACTAGAAAGCCTGCATATTCTGACCAGCGGAAGCGTCCATTTAGACAAGGGGGCGGGCTGCCGGTGACGTGTTTCTGCTTTCGTTACCCATGTGCGTCCGCACAAATAAAGGAATTAACGTCTTCACACAAAACAATCACATCGCTTCGATACAAATTCTTAGATAAACGGTTGCTGAGAGTTAAAGGAAAAGACAGGGAAAGGCATGGGGGTTAATTCTGCGGGAAAGCGGATGTTTCGATCTGCCCGTAAGTGGCCATTCATTCCCGCTTCTCCCAGGTGTTCCTGCGATTACAGGCCACTCTCCGCTCTCAGTCCTTCACACAGCAGGCTAAAGTGGCGCTAGCCTAGCCTTGAAATCTGTTAACTACACGCGGTCTGTTAGCCAAGCGGCGGCCAGCTAATGGTGAGCTCGCAAAAAGACAGTTTGGGTAATGAATGGAGGCATAATCCTACTGGCCGATGGTCACGCAAAGGCAGCATTAAGCGCCTACCGGGCATCCTCACCGAGTACCACCCCAATCGAGAGTAAGCGCGCAATTCCCGCTAGCCAGACCCGCCAGAGTCTGCTAGTTTTACCCGGAGAGACTAACTACACTCCCATCACCTCGTCTAGGCGCGGGGTAGGAGCCCAGCCACGGGCTGAATGTGTGCGGACTAACGGAGCAGTAACTCGTCTGGCTGGGTTAGCTGCTAGCGGCAAGTAGCCCGGAGTTAAACAAAAGTTTGACTCCTCGGCTAAACGTCAAATTCGGCGGTGGGCCGACCGCTTTCGCTGGCTAACGGGGATATACTCATACCAAAGAGAACCCCCCCGGGTGAAAGGTGGATAATTTTCGACTAGTTTAATGCTTACCCCTTCCTCTTCTTCTCCCTCAGGCTCGTTCTGCTCTACCCGCGGCTCCGGCTGCTCTGGCAGGTTGTTCTCAGTATCCGACATTGTCAGCTATTTCGTCTTCCTCCTTTCGTCTCTTCCAAATAGGTGTATGTATATGTGTGTGTATATATATCTCTACGCGACCCCCAACCTACTTATTTAACACCAGACGTTATTTTTAACGATAAAGTCGATAGACAGTACAGGTAAAAGTACTCAGAGCAAGGATTTTATCCAGTACGCCGCGGAGAGCAGAACTCCACAACGCCGCCACACGGTTTCGGCGGAGTACCCGGCTTTCTTTCGCCCCCGACGTCACTGTGGTCCCGTGACGAAATATCGCGAGAGTTTGTGGTACCTCCACTGGCGGGTTTCTTGTGAGTTCCCACAGACTAGGAAGCGGGTTTTCGAGGGAAATGGTTTTTGTTTGGCTCGCACTGAAGCCACAATGAAGTTCTTACTGGTGGATGGTCAGGATTCACCAACGACATTCGCCTGAAACTATAGTTAAAATGTAATTACAAGAACACTTTTCAAACGCCACCTTGTGACCTTACGTGTTAGAACAACTGCTCTGTCCAGTCCAGTCACACACGTATATTTTCAGTCTATCCGCCATCTGGAGTACAAAAAAAACACATTTATCTCAGAATTCTGAATTAAACCGAAATAGCTTAATAAATAATTTAATAGCTTTCGACTCAAGTCAAAATTCTGATTCCCCCCCCCTCCCCTCACAATTTTTACTGTATTTCACATTATTCGGAGCTACTTTCTAACAAGTAGCGGGAGCCACGTTTGAAATGAAAGCGGGTAATTCATAGAACTTACGTCTCGCCTAATAAGATGTGATACAGGCATATCTAAGGTTAATGCTTCGCGCATTAGAACTACAAGACCCTATAGCAGCCAATAACGTAATACCTACACCATTAATGACTGCCAATAACCTATTAATTTGTCCGCTCTTAATGTAATAAAAGCCGATAAAGTAATAACTTACCAATACCGCACTAACATGTTTGAATCAAAACTCAACACATTTTTACATTGTAGACTTTTACACAAAAGGGGAAATTATTCCGTTATTTGCAGTTAATATATAACTACCGTTAATGTAAAAACTGCTACAGACCCTAACAATCGTGATACTGCAAAATATCTATGTTCTAGTTACAGTCAGTAAAATATCAGTTAATTGTATCTTCGAAGGTACTAGAAGTCTTGGGCAAACACTGGCATCACAAGAATAACTGAATAACTCCAACCAAGGCAATGAAGACAGTACTAGTGCCCTGTTGTACTGCCTTCAAAACGTAGCGAGTTAACATGAAATCCAAACTAGGCGCTAGCAGATTACGGTATATGAATAATATCTGTTTGGGATACATCCCTAAGCATCCTGCAGAGGTGACGCTGCCTGATTGGCTAAAAAAAAGTCAGAATTTCGACTTCTGAGATATATTTATCTCAATTCCGACTGTTTTTTCCTACTCCAAATAGCGGAAACGGACTTTCATACAAATGAAATAATTAATTTGTGAGAGTGCTATATTAGAGGAAGACAAAAGTATCGAGCAAGAGCAAGTAATATTTACCTCAACATGATTATTTAATAATTTAAATTAGTCGGCCTTCAAAAGAATATAGTTCTTAAAGGACAAGTAATTGGAGTTTAACAAGTTGTTATTCGTAAAATAAAAAAAAAAACTAAGTTGAAATCAGTGAAAAACTGGCATTTCATTATTTTTTCCTCTCCTATGGGGGTTGCCCCCCACCCCCACCCCCACCCGAAGACACCGTCATTTCAAACTATAACTGAAACAAAAGAACTGTTCATTATATATAATGGTCTTTATTTAGTTTAAAATGTACATTTCTCTTTTGATTCATTAAAAAAGATTAAGCATCAAGGATTTGGAGTTTGCAAAAGAAACTTCTGGGAGAAAAATAGGAATAGCACTTCAACAAATGGTACATGCAAGAACAATGCAGCTATTATATACAGCAAAAATCTCCTCATCAATGGTGAGTTCAAGGATGAAAAAGTTACTAAAACTAGTTCATACACAAACAAGATTCTCAAGTACTAAAAGTTTACATAAAATGGTTTGTCCTATTTACAAGACTTATAAAGTTGTCGATAAGGCAGTCAGTCCCAAGAAAACTGGATATCAATTAAAAAATAAATTATACTCTTCAGAAAATATGCAATGAATTGGCAAGCCAGTTAAAAAGGAAAACAAAGAATCAATTCCTTTAGCAAAAATAAAACTGGTATGTTTCAGAAATGCATTACTTTGCAGAAAAAGCAACACATGCCTATGACAAGTATGTCTAAATTTCCTGTCGATCGTGAAGGAGTTTAAGAGCAGTGAGTGAATTGTGTTGCCTCTGCTGTTAAAATGAATGGTAAAAAAACAAAATAAATTACAACTGATAGCAAAGTTAGTATTTCAATGAGTACCTGATTTGTTCTATTATACTTTAGTTTGATACCTTGCATAATTAACAGGAAGTCTAAAATCTTCCCATTAAGAACTGTCACAGTTGTATATTCCACCCTTTTCCCGATGGTTTTATTTGACCATCCCAGAAAGTGCAGCGTTCTATCCTGCAGAACACACACACTGTAGCTTTCACATAGCTAGATATTCGAACATAAAGGACATTCACATACACAACATTTTTCAACATTACTACTTGCATTTTGTACAGCACAGATGTGCACTTTGTGCTATGCGCCTGGGAAGATGATGGTCTGCAGATTCACTGTGTTTAATAAGCCAAAACCCATGCTTGCGCGCAAAAAGAACCTACAGAAAACTGAAAACAGGAATTTAAAAACCCGAATCTACAGAAAATCACTCAGATCAAGGTAGAAAAAGTGTGTCAATGCATAATAAATGTAACTCAAAAGCTACTATTGCAAAAAAAAAAAAAAAAAACCTAGAAACTTGGCATACGATGTGATGAAATTGTGTGCTTTAGGTGAACTTTTACTTAACAGGAAAGTGTCAAGCAGGAAGTAATGACAGGATTTACAAAGATGTCCAATGTAGTAATGGCCAGACAATTATAAGCAGACATTTCCCACATAAAAGAATGGCACTAATTTCTTTACAGTTCCTGATGGCACCAGTGACTCTTGGCACCACAGTTCAAAAGGGCAGTGCATCTGGAGAGTTGGCAGCGTAAACAGAACGAGGCACCTGACGTCAGGTAGGGTGGGGCCTCTGTCCCACAGGGGGGTCATGGGTAATGCCTGGATACAAGGGTTGGGTGGGGTGGGGGAAGGTGAGGAGCTCCGTGTCCCAGATATGAAGCCTTCACTTAGAGCCTTTGGTGGAAGTGTCAGTCTCTGTTGACTGCCTCTCATCATTCCAGGCTTCTCTTGTGTTCTTCAAGGCCTGCGTCCGCTGCTGGTCCACCACCACATAGTCCACACGTTCATCCGAAACACTGCTGCCTGTCCCATTGCTCTTTTTCTGGAACGGAAAACATTTTCCACATTGGTCGACTGCGTCTACAGCTACACTCTGTGGTTTTGGTTATTAATTGCCACAAGTCCTCCTCATCAGATCTCCTGTGTGGCTGCCTGAAGCCTTAAGAGGACCTTTAAAACCCACAACAACGTCCTCAGAGCGGCACACCTTTCGCGGAGGAGTGGATTTGCCGGTGTCCAGGTCCAAGTCAAGATATTCCACCTGCTTGTCTGCTTTGGTCTTTGTCGTCGGGCTGCTACCTCCATCAGTGCTCATCTGAGGGCCGAGCTTCATGCTCTGAAAGCAAGGAGACAAGTTCAACAGGAGAAGCAGGCTGGAACATAACCAAAACTCACTGAATTCCAGAAACATTCATGACCCCAGCCCAAGCATGGTACATCTTTAAAAAGAATGGCAATGTGTCTATAATGATGGAGGACTACCAAGAAGTAGAGATGACTATAAAAGATTTTTTTTTTTTTTTAAGTGACACTTATGTGAAATGTAGGCTGGAAACACAGGTTTTGCTGACGTCTTGTTTCTAATACATCCACTTATTCCATTAAACTGTTCCAAAGGCTTTGGATAAAGAAGATTCAACTAATATATAATTCTTCTTGATGACAACATGCTCTCCCTTTTTGTCCCACATGGGTAGTTAGACAGACCAAATGAACAACAAACTAGGATTACAAGGAATTCCAGACCAGCGGGCTCTACAAGGGGGGGAAAAAAAAATCCGTTTTGGGACCCAACTGGTCTCTGGGGACTAACTGCTCCTTGTGGGAGCCCTCTCCTCACCTCCTCCAGCGTGTCAAGACCTGACACCTCCCTCTTAACGGGGGTGATAGGGACCGTGCAGTAGAAGGACTCCTCTCTACATAGTAGGAAGACAGTAAGGAGAGGAGCAGGTGGTCAGGACACAATGGGAGAGGAGAACAGAAACAAGGGGGCAAGATGACTAAAAGGGAGGGAAAACATGGAGGTTGGAAAAAAAAAAAAGATAAGCAAATTAACAAAAAGGTCCAGGAAATGGAAGCAGGGACTGATGCCACTTCAAAAAGAACATGCACACAGGCTGTCACAGACCCCTTTCATCCCACACGGCAAACGTGTTCTTCTGCAGTAATACACAGACAAGGCACGGTAAACCTCGCAACTTTGATTATCCAACAACAGTGCATTAAATTTTTTTTTACAGGGCCTGTGCTGAGTTGCAACATGAAAGGGGTCCATGGAAACAAGGTGGGGGGGGGGGGGGGGGGGGTAAAGTTAAAGGGACCCTGAATAGAATCAGGTGACAAATCAGTGTGAGAGTCAAGTTGGATTTCTCCAAAAAAACGAGTTCTTGGAGAGGAGGGTAAAAGTCAGTAAAACAGAAGTGGAAATACGTCAACAGGAGGAGCGGGAAAATGTAGAGAAGGACAGGAAGTGGGAGGAGCCCTTCTGACGTGGCCATGGAGGACTGGAATGAAACGACTTTGGCTTTTCAAGAATTACTACACTGGTTTTTACTGCCAAACGACTGGTTTCCTAGCAGTTGTACATGGCCAGCTGTATTTCCGAGACGTACGCTATGTGATCTACTTCATCGGAGAACAGCTGAGCCATCACTAGAAGAAGATCTCTCGTCGTACTATGATTCTTCATGATGGTTTAATCAAGTGTGTACCAGAAGAGGAAACCTGGCTCTAATAAAGCCCTAAAATTTACAGAAGCTGAACTTGGAGGTCAGCAGCTCCAATGTATCCACAAGAAACTCTTAGCCTTGATACAACCTTGATAAAAGCAATTAAAATTTAAACAGAAACAGTAAAACAAAGAGTAATCGTGGAGCT